AATCTAGAACCCACATACTCCCATCTCTACACATTTGGATGCTTCTGCTACCCACTCACCCCATCTATCACAATCCACAAACTACAACAATGTTCCCAGCCTTGCATTTTCTTAGGTCGCCTAAATAATCACCACGGTTACAAATGATTTGACATCAAAACCCAAACCATTATCCTCTCCTGACATGTTATCTTTGATGATACAAATTTTCCTTACTCAAAACTATCATCTTCGAAACCTTCCTCTCACACCCGCTCATCATCAGACCCACACCCACCCATTTGGTACACCCAAAATCCGCAAGTGAACACCGAACCTCCCCCCACCAATCAACTGAGATCCCCTCTCAAACGAAACCTCCCCCGTCTCCTCTCATTAGCTACTCTCGTTGTCCTCGATCCATCTCTACCTCACAAAGACAACCATAAATTGCCCAACCTCCTCCTGTTTCGTCTTTGCAAATAGCTCCCTCAAACACATATGTTGCCACTACTCGCACCATTCATACCCGAAGTATGTCGGGTATTTCAAAACCGAAACAACATTACAATCTCCATACAACCAACTCCATTTCTCCTTTACCTCGAAACCCCCTTATGCTCTCAAAAACCCAGATTGGAAACGTGCCATGACCGATGAATTTCGGGCCCTTATTGATAATAACACGTGGGATTTAGTCCCAATAACTCATCATATGAATATAGTGCGCATTATGTGGATTTTTCGTCATAAAACTAAATCTGACGGTTCTTTAGAGTGATACAAAGCTCGTTTGGTGTGTGATGGCAGGTCTCAAAAAGAAGGCATCGATTGTAGAGAAACCTTCAGCCCCGTGGGCAAACCGGTAACAATCCGTACGATCCTATCCATAGCTCTTTTTAATGAGTGGCAAATTCACCAACTAGACGTGAAAAATTATTTTCTCTACAGACAACTTCACGAAACGGTCTACGTGCATCAACCACCCGGATTTCGAGACCGCTCATTCCCAGATCATGTGTGTCTACTCAAAAAGTCTCTATACGGCCTCAAACAAGCACCACGAGCTTGGTATCAACGATTAGCTGACTACATCTCTAAATTGGGCCTCAAACATAGCAAATGTGACCACTCGTTATTTGTCTATAAAAAAAGGTACCCACACGACATTCCTACTCCTTTATGTCGACGATATCCTGCTTATTACCTCATCACCCCACCTTCGCCATGATTTTATGGCGCTGTTAGCAAAAGAGTTCGCAATGAAGGACCTTGGACCCCACAACTATTTTCTTGGCATATATGTATCCCTCATAAAAGTCTCGCTTTTCTTATCACTACAAAAATATGTCAACGAAATTCTTGAAAGGGCGGGAATGAGTTCTTGCCACTCTTCCTCCACACCGGTTGACAAGAAGACAAAATTAAACAACAACGATGGTACTCCACTACCTGACAGGGGTGTGCAATATTGTCAACTTGTTGGGGCCCTCCAATATTTGACTTTCACCTTACCAGACATCAGCTACGCCATTTAGCAAATTTGTATACACATGCATGCTCCTCGCACATCCCATTTTAATGCTCTAAAACACATTTTGTGGTACATTAAAGGTACGATCACTCATAGGTTACTACTCACAAAATCACCCTCCAAGAAACTTTTAGCCTATACAGACGCCGATTGGGCAGGTTGTCCGGACACAAGACGTTCCACCTCGGGCTATTGTGTCTATCTGTGAGACAATCTCATTTCATGGTCTTCCAAACGCCAACCAATACTCTCGCAATCAAGAGCAGATGCAGAATATAGGGGAGTCTCCAATGTAGTATCTGAGACATGTTGGATTCGAAACTTAAGGCTTGAGCTTCATATTCTGCAAACCACAACCATGTTGGTATATTGCGATATTGTTAGCACCGTCTACCTATCATGTAACCCAGTTCAACATCAACGTACCAAGCACATAGAGCTCGATATTCATTTCGTTCGGGAGAAAGTAGCACATGGTCAAGTTCATATTTTTCATATTCCCTCTCGTTATCAAGTTGCAGATAACTTCACTAGGGGTCTACCTCTCGTCCTCTTTGAAGACTCCAAAAACATCCTCAACGTTCGTCATCCTCCCGATTCAACTGCGGGGATATATTAGCCGACGATTATTCCCTTCCTCAATATGAGGAAGGTTTGTTATGGAAAGTAGATTATACACATTTATTGTTGATACAATTTCTGTAAATAGAGATAGACTCTTTGAATATATTGAAATGTATCATAGTGCATCAAGGGAAAGAGAAGTGTTTTACAAAGATTGTGAACCTATCAACTATGATCCTTTTGAAATGTCAGTTTTTCAAAAAAACTAATGTTGAATTTTTTTATTTTATTTTATTTTTTAACTTTTTCGTTCCTAAACCTTTATATATTGTACCTTTTTTATTTCTGAACATTCTAACTTGACGATTGTGATGTTAAGTCGTTTAAGCTACATCATCCGACCAAAAACCTACTCACTTGCGGTCATATTTGGTCATATTTGGCATAGATTGATAATAATTTGTTTTTTTTATACCATCATTAAACTTAATGTTAGTTCATTTAAATCCTCAGACCACATCAGTTAGATAGTTATAATCTACCTGAGGGGGAGATGCGGAATGCTACACTCCATATATTATTTCCATTAAAAGTATAATGTCTAAATACCCAATAGTTATATCAGGTTGGAAATGATTCTGATGGAAAAAATATTAACTTCTTAATAATCAATAATCCTTAATATTATTAACATACTTATCTTTATAATTAATTTAAAATAATAAAGATAGATTTACAAACAAAACATCAAATTCTATATAAAAATAATTGTTTGAAATCTATGTTTAATGATTACGGATTTATAGTCATTATAACTTATATCAACAATGTAATACACGAGTTATAACCTAATAATAAATAAAAATAAAAATACGCAACTTAAAATAATAACAATACACATATAACATATATCTATAAGCTTTACATTGTCACAAAGAAACCAAGGTTTCAGTATAATGATGAACTTCGAAGTATCCAATTCACCAATGGAAAATGTTGCTAATATCAAAAATTTGCTTGAAACTCTTGTCCACAACATTGTACATTAGGCTCAAGGGAGTGGGTGCGACAGTGGACTGCGGTTCCGCCACCGTGGCACTTGAACACCGTCCCTTGGGTGCGGTTAGGGTGTGGCTAGGGCTGCAGTTCGGCAGTGGGAGGGAGTGCTTCTTCCTTGATTGTGATTCCCTAACTTTTTTTGACCGTTCCAAACGGTCATAAATTCAAAATTAATTTGTTTTACTAACTCTATAATTACATAAGTTTTTTTAACCAAACTAACTCACAAACATTTTAAATTTTACCATTTTTTTGTTTCAAAACCTTTCAAAATGTCATCCTCCAAAAAATCTACCAACCAAAAAACACCCAATAGAAACACCACAATCCCAAGACCTTCATACAATCAACCGATTTATTCGCCCCATTTTTATCACTATGGTGATATGTTTCCTTATTATCCACAACAAATCTCACAACCACAACGACCTACATAACCACTTCCACAAACACAACCACAACTCGACCCAAATTTTAATCCTTTTGATTTTGTGTCTCAAGTGGAGTATGTTTCACAAACATAACATGAATTTGTTCCACAAACACAATCACAACCACGAACACCCATTTCCGATTTTGATCCCGAATTTGTTCAAGAAGCTCAACCCACTCGAGCACAAAATAAAAGAAAAGAGAAAATGGAGGCTAAATCATGGGAACCCCAAGAAGTGTTAGTATTGACACAATCATGGATTGACGTTTCAGAAGATCTGATGACAGGAGTGGACCAAAAACATCTCTGTTTTTTTATGCGCGTTAGAGCTAAGGTTCCACAAAGGAATGAACCTATCACCATATCTTTCTAAACATCAAGTATATTTGAAATGGGGAAAGATGAACAAAGAAGTCATGTTGTTTAACAATTTGTATAACAACATAAAACGGTAATGGAAAATCGGGGAAAGTGACGATGTAATTTTGCAGAAAGCTTTTAACGTGTAACAAAAAGAGCAAAAGAAGGTTTTCAAGTTTTTTGAAGTTTGGAATCTAGTCAAAGATAACAAAAAATGGCAAAACAACAAAACATCTGACAAGCATATCGATAGTGACTCAAAACGCTCAAGAACATCTGAATCCGATTACACTACATCGGATGCTCGTGTTTGTTTCGAACTCAACGATGATAAGTCCATTGAAATTTTGCCCCCCCCCCCCCCCGACCAATGGGAAGGGACAAAGCAAATGAGCCAGATGGCCGACAAAATGCACAAGGTATAAAAGAAAGAATGAATAAATTTTTCAAACTTGCTTCGGATAGACAGACTCGGAAATAAAGGGACAACGAATTGAGAGTGCTAACGATGAACACATCGCAATTGACCAGTGATGAGCTTCAAGATGTTTTGGCGATGAAGGAGAACGTCAATAAAACATTATGCTAATTGTTTTTAATTTCTAATTTTTTTCCAAGTTTTTAATCGTTTGATGTGTGTTTTTTTTAAGTTGTAGGTTTAATATTTCCAGTTTACTTTTTTTTTTAAGTTATGAAATATAATGGAACTTTCTTTTTAATTAATGAAATATTATCTTTATAAAAAATAAAGTTTTTATTTATTAAAAAAACAACAACAAATGTGACAACACTCTTTGGGTGTGGCAAAAAACTACATAAATGAGAGTGTGACAACTGATAAAATAAAAGACTTCAACCTTATAAATACTACGACACAACTTTTCCGATTTGCCATCCAAGTATTTTTCTTACCTATAAACAAGTGCACTGTATATATTTACTGATAACAACGTATTTATATTTTTTTTACAAATATGTTTTTTATTTATTAGCTATAATAACAATACACGTATAACATTTACCATACTAAAATACTTTTTCTATATAATAACACCTATAAGCTTTCCTATGTCAGAAAGAAGCCAAGGTTTCGATATAGCGATGAACTTCCGAGTGACCGATTCGTCCATATGAAATGTCGTGCAGATGACTCAGATCAAATATCTGCTTGAAACTCTTGTCCACAACGTTGTACCTTATAATCTTCCCTGGAATCTTGATCACAATGAACATTTCTTCTTCTTCTTCACCCCTAACCACATCAAAAAATTCGAATTTGTAATAATACGGGCTCGATGGGTCTAAGTAGCTATGGATCATCTCCGGGTACGCAATCGGAACCTCATCAAGCTCCACTCCATACTTGAGAAACAACCCAGAATGATCGTTCAACATCTCATACACATTCAGCTGTAAATGACTCTCAAAGCGATCGACCCTCTCCCCCAAATGTAGATGGCCTTGTGACTCCCCAAAGTAAAGGGGCATTGCTCCGTCTCGATAACCTCCAAAGGATGCCACCGCCACTGGCAATGGCAGCGATTGTATCTCTTCTGTGTCGAGCTTAAAGTACGATGCACTAACACAGGAGGGAGCCCAGTAAAGCGCGTGATTCAAATAAACTCCAGAGCTGAAGCTCGTATAATAAGGCGCAGAGAAAGATTGATCTGAAATCTTCCATTTCCCTGTCTCAGACGAGTAGATTTGAATCCGAAACAGATCCTCATCAGGTTTAGCAAACAGATACTCATCAGGTTTAGCACGATGAAAGCAAACAACTTTGTAGTGAACACAATCTGTTTGATGAAATGCCAGACCCATAAAACGGATGGTTTTACGAACATCCATGCCTCCGGGAACCGATGGGACGAGGGCAAATTGCTTGGTTGTGGGATTGAATATGTAATACTTACGAGCACGTACATGCCCCCGATCGCTACAGCAAAGCAGCAATCCATTACAAGATTGAACGATTCTAATACCACTAGGATCATGATAGAAGTCGAGCTTACGAAAAGGAGGAGTGCTTCGGTCTTCATTATTAAATGGAATATACAAATTGCGAACAAAAAGGCCAGGAGAGGATGACGCATTTTTATACAGAAGGGTAAAACGCCGGTGACTCAAAAGGGAACGCCAGTGTTTGGATACAGATTTGAATCGAAGAACAGAGGTAACTGGAAGCCGGCGAAGGATTTCAATTAAAAGTTCATCGTTGGAACCGATTAGAGCTCTAGACTGTGTCGTCAGTTGAGTGGAATCCGCCATGGCAGCTTCCATGAAGCAGAGCTTCATGGTGTTCTGGATCTTTTGGACTTTGGCTCTGGTGTTTACCATTTGTGGAGTGGATTGAGAGCCTTGAAGAAGAATTAGGCGTATTTAAGGTGTGTTTTTCATACTGAAAGATTGCCAGGGAAGCTGATGAGTAAACAGAAAACATAAGCTTCCCATGAAAGCTTTGACTTTGTTGATGTTGACTTGAATTTGTCCGCATTTCTAATAAAAAAACCGAGCCAATTTTTTTGAACAAGTTCTTATTTCCGAACCACAGCAATTTGGAAGAAAAATTCTTGCATGAGATCGATGAAAAGGCAGGATTTCGATTGCTGGTTTACCTAAATTAGTAGTGATGGTGTAAATTTAATATTTTCATTTCATTATAACTTCATCCATAAAAAAATAGTAATAATAAGTTTTAAAGTTTTTCTTTTAGACAAAGTTATATAAATAGTATATGTGGTTTATTAATGTTCACAATTTTTTAATCTTTACTATTTATTTTTAATGCAAATAGCCCTTCTAAACTTGCACGAATTGTCTTTTACAGATTCTAAAACTCGCATAAATGGACTCCAAACTACATAAAATACTACTTTTATATTTTTAATTTCTTTTATTTTATAAAAAACTAAATTTAATTATAAAAATAAGAATATACATCAACCCCTAAATTTAATTTCTATTTTGTTTATCTTTTGAGGTTAATACAAAAACTAATTTAACCTTCTTATGTGAGGTTAATACTCCCAATCATTTCTCTCTCACATCTTATGTGTTTCCACTTTAAAATTAAGGAGAGAAAACACATGAGAAAAAGAGATGGGGATGGACCCTCGTCGTCGACAATCGACACTCTCGTCGGAGATCATAAAGAGAGACATAAATATGGTGAGAAAGAGAGAACTAGACAATTAGATTGAGGAGCAAAGATATCACGTTGTCTCCAACAAAGGGAAGGCCGCATGATGAGTTATGGTGATGATGATGCCTTCCCCAGTGAAAAAATTCCACTGCCTTCACTAATGGCCACTGGTGGTTCTTTACCCTCATTGAAAACCTTTAAAAGAAGCCTAATGGATGGTGGCTTCTATACCCCCACTCTCACCTCATCTTCATCAAAAAAATCCTCTATCCACCATCGATCGGTGCTGATCCTCCCTCTCCCTGTTAAGATGATTTTCTCTCCAATAGCATGCACAATTTGTTCCCAATAAATGAGTGTGAGACAGTTCTATCCCGACATCCTTTTAAATAGATTTTAGAACAAATTACTAAAATCGTTCTTGTGGTTTGTCAAAATTTCGTGTTTGCTCCCTTACTTTTTTTTTGCACTCAAACTGTCCCTATAGTATGGTTTTATTGCATTTTTCGTCCCTAACCAACTTGAAATGACAAAAATACCCTTATTGATTATTTTATTTGTTTTCTTTATTATTAACATATTAAATAAAATGTTTTAATATCTATGGGGCCCACCTAACACCAAAATATTCCATGTACGTACATACCTTGTATCGACATCATCCCTCACTTCCACTGCCCCTTCACCAAACTGATGGGTATTATGCAAAACATATAATCCTATGTGTGCATGCAACCCTAAATAATTTTGATCTATGTTTTCTCTAATTGAACATACAACTTGAACAACAAAATAGAAAACCCTATAATGCTAGTATATAATCCAAATACACAATTACGGTTAGAAGAATCATACATTGATTGTTATCATGTAATAACAATCCAAATCTTTGTGTTGTTGAAGCCTTGAAAGCAAGCGTCACAAATATCACGCCTCTAGTGGTTCACACTCAACACTAGCAGTGGAAGATGATTGAGAAGGAGGAGAGAGGCTTCAAATTTTTGGTTGGCTCTTCAAGGGAATGAGTGGCGGAAAATTGTAGGGTTTAGGTTGTTTATATAGTGCAGTTAGGAAACCCTAGATAAACTCTAATCCAAGATAATCTTAAACCGGGCAGTTATCCACTTTCCTGTTTATCCACCAAAGACTATTCTAGAAACCCTTAAGCCATAGAAAATCGTCCAAGGCCTATGGAGGGTTCTAAGTTGCCTCTTGGTCAACTATTGAACAATTTCATTTCAGTCCCTGCACTTTTAATTAATTCTTTTAATCCCAAAATTAATCCCAATTAATTTTTTATTAAATATTAATTAAATATTATTGTTTCTAATTAATATATTATTTTCATAATATATTAATAAATCATTTATTTCAATTCATTAATCAAATAATAAATCAACCTATTTCTCCAAAATCATCTTGTCTAGTTGCTAGTTGTCACACCCCCGAACCAGACGGCGGAAACGTTCGGGGGCTCGTGTGACTAACAATTGAATAATCATCACAATGAATATACATGAAACATAACACATTCATCACCAACATTACATATTACAACCAGCATTGTTCACATCAAGTACATTGTTAAAATACATAAGTTCAAATTGTTCAAGGTACGATAAGTGATGTTACATAAACAAAACCATACACACTTGCATATCTTCCAGCTTAACGATTACCTGAGAATATAAGTTATTTTGAAAACGGTCAACATATATAATGTTGGTGAGTTCATAAGTATATTTGAGTAAAAGTCTTTGTATCTTTCATAAAAACCCAGAAAATCCGATATTTTCTTTAAAATGTTTTGAAAATGATGTGAAAATCGAGTATAAATGCATGTGTGAATTTCATAGTTAAAACTTGTATGAGTGTAGTTTGGATTCATTGTATTTTGAATAAATGATAATTGTATATGAATAATTTCCCCAGAAAATCCGATATTTTCTGTTTTATAACATCGTTTAGATTCTTGTATCGTTAAATAAGTCGTTTTGCATTGACACAATTAAAGAATTTATCTTCAAAAGGTTATCTTTTGGTATTGAATCCTTATATGAGCCGTTATAACCATGCATGATAATGACTAGGTCGCCCGTCTTGGTATTTTTCCAAATGTCGGTCTTGCTAAGGATGTTGTCGCCCTAGACTGACCTAGTCTAGCTGTAGCGAACAATTAAGGCGTGGGGGGTCACCCCCTATAGATCTATACACAAACTCCCGCTTTCCTACCAGGAAACTCTGATTATAACTATAGGCTATGACTGTACACTCGGAAGTGCCAACCGACATGTCTCACTAGATTCTCAACCCCTTTTTGTTCTATGTTTAATGTTTACATATATGTGGTATGTTTTTGTATTCGAAAGGTACATATAAAAGTATACGAAGTTTAATGATTACACAAAGGTATAGGTACGGCCATAAACATGAGAAATTTCCATTTCAAGCCCTATTAGCATGTAATTAGACCACGAAGGCCCAATAACATGCATAAGGGTAATTTAGGCCCAATAGGCATGTAAATGGGCCACAAAATCCCAATAACATGTAATTCATACTTAGGCCCAAATTAACATGTAAGTGGATCGCAAGACCCAATAAACACATCATGGAAAACATTGGGCTCAATATACACTTAATTGGGCTCTTAGGGTCCAATGACCAAGTAACGTGTATATTAGGCCCAATAAATAGTTATCGACGTATTCCGTTCGTTTGTATTATTCCGTTGTTCGTTTTAGCTCGGGGTTTAATAGATTGATGATAAAAATCCTCTTTTCGTAAAAACGACGTTTTTGGCCAATAATCCTCCAATTTTTAAATTAAAGCCCAAAGTTTTGTAAAAATGACACTTTAGTCCATAATTTATAAAAATTTGCAAGTTTGTCCCACATGTCTAAAAATTTACGGTTTTAGTCCAAAAAGTTATATTTTCACATTTAGAACCCTGTTTTGCAGAAAAGTGCATTTTCAGCCCCTAGTAAGTAAAAATTTACACTTTCGGCCCAAATTTTGGAAAATCTTACATTTTTGGTCCAATTTGAAAATAAATAATATTTTCACCTCTAAATTTGGTTTGTTCACATTTATGACTCAAACTTTGGCCAAATAACATTTTTAACCCCAAAACTTCATTTTGTTTCGCAAATTGGGCCCAAAACCGTGAGGCCCAAAGTTTTGGCCCATTAAGCCTAAATTTGCATTTTTGGCCCTTTTTAAAGTTTGTTTAACATAAAAACACCTTTTTATACATGTAGGATTTGTTTGGCCCTTATAAAAACATAAATGTCACTTTTAGCCCTTATCTTTTGTTTTCTTGACAATTTTGACCTCTAACAAGATTTTTGTTGAAATCTTTTGTTTCTTAAACATGTAATCACTTTTAGCTTGATAATGTGATGTATATAATGTCATAGTTCATGGATCTTTGCTAAATAATACTTAAAATTTCGATATTTGCTAAGATCTAACACCTTATTACCAAATAAGCCAAGAATTCACACAAAACATGCACTTAACACATAGATCTGCACATTTTACTTGCATTCTCCCCCAAAAATCATATGAAAACCGAAAACAAGGGGGTATGAACTCACCTTTTGCTTGATGTTTCGGTTTTTGAAGAAGAATGGAAAGAGATGAAGTGATTTTCGGCCCTAGCAAACTCCCTTGAGTAGATCTCGAACTTAAGAAGATTTCTAGGAGTATGATCACCAAAAACTTTGCTTAAAAGAGTGATCTAACATGAAAATGGAGTTATAAAACTTGGATGTGTAAAGACTTACCAAGAAATGATGATTATCTTGTGAAAATCCTCTTGAAACCCAAGCAAAGTTTTGAGATTTTTGGAGGAAGAAGGTGAATGATCCTTGAGAGTATTAGAGAGAATTTGTTGTAGTGTGTGTGTGTGTGGCTCTCGACCGAGAGTAGAAGAAGAGAGGGGAGAGAGAGAGGTGAGATGACTAGTATGGATACATGGGAGATCTTAACATTGATACATGTTGGGCAATATGGAGGTGACATCTCCAAGTCAACCCCCCCCCCCTAATTCTATTCTTTTCCTTTTTTTATACATGGGTCGAGAATTTAGGCCAAGAAGAAAAGGGTGGAGTAGTTTGGGCCCATTAACTTTAGTTAGGATATTTGGGTCCTAACATAGACTTTTTCAGCCCATTGGGCCTTTGGAAGCATT